CCCGGAGGCCCCGCCCCCATGCCCGCCCCCAAGCCTACCGCCCCGGGGTGTCTGCTGGCCCCCTGGGTAGCCCGGGGTCCCGTGGGTGACTGGTGACCCATGGGTAGCTCGGGATCCACTGGGTAGCTTAGGGTCCCAGGAGTAACTCCATGGATAGCCTAGGACCCTATGGATAGTGTAGGGTCCCATGCATGTCCCTAGGGTCCCACAGATAGCAGAAGGTCCCATGGGTGCCTGCTGGCCCCATGGTTAGCACAGGTTTCCAGGGAATCTCCAGGGGTCCCGTGGGGTGCCTGCTGGTCACATAGATGTTGTAGGGCCCTGTGGGTGCTTGCTGCTCCCATGGGTAGTGTGGGCTGTCACAGGTGCTGTGGGGTCCCAAAGGGTGCCTGCTGACCCCACAGGGGTCCCAGGTATTCATGAAACCCATGGGGTGTTTAGGAGCCCTGTGGATGCTCCTTAGTCCTGTAGGGTGTCCAGGGGTCCCATAGAGTGCCTGCTGACCCCATGGGTAGCACAGGGACCTACTGGAATTCATGAATCCCATGGGCTGTTTAGAAGCCCTGTAGGTGCTCTCTGGTCCTTTAAGGTGTTGGAAGAGTCCTGTGAGGTGCCTGCTGACCCCATGGGTGGTGTGGACTCCATGGGGTGCCTGCTGACCCCATGGGTGGTGTGGACTCCATGGGGTGCCTGCTGACCCCATGGGTAGCACAGGAACCCACAGCTATCCATGAGTCCCATGGGGGGTTCAGGAGCCCCATGAGTGCTCTCTGGTCCTGTAGGGTGTCCAGGGGTCCCATGGAGTGCCTGCTGACCCATGGGTGGTGTGGGGTGCCATGGAGTGTCTGCTGACCCCATGGATAGCATGGGAACCCTCAACTATCCGTGAATCCCATGGGGGGTTCAGGAGCCCCATGGGTGCTCTCTGGTCCCGTAGGGTGTCCAGGGGTCCCATGGGGTGCCTGCTGACCCCATGAGTAGCACGGGAACCCACAGCTATCCATGAATCGCGTGGGTGGTTAGGAGCCCTGTGGGTGCCCTCTGGTCCTGTAGGGTGTCCAGGGGTCCCATGGGGTGCTTGCTGACCCCATGGATATCCAGCTGTCCCACGGGGCACCCAGCATCCCCACGGGTGCCCATTTGTCCCTTAGGCCATGACCTCCTCCCCTGGGGCCTCACCCCTCTCCTGAGGCCGTGTGGGGACCAGCACCCGCCCTGAGGGTGATCTCGGCCCCTCTTGGGGTGCGTGGCAGCAGGTGGGGGGGTGTTCTGTGGGTTCCATTGGAAGATCCCGAAAATCCTGGGGGAAAAACTCAGATGTAAACAGAATGTCCCCTCCTGGAGGTGCTGGACATGTCCCCCTCCACTTCCCTAGCCCCCCACTTTCTTGGGGGGACGGAAAGGCCACCGCTGCCCCTTCCCGCTGAGGGCCTGGGTTGGGGGGCTGCCAGGGCTGGGCCTTCTTCCTCTTCCTCCCAGACCTGAGGCAGGCCTGGAGGCCCGTGCACCCAAGGCGGGGGAGTGTGTGGGGGGCGTTTGGGGTGTCGGGGTATGGGGAACAGGGCCGCCCTCCCTCCTCCCACACCTTTCTGGGCCAGGGCTGACATCCCCGCTCCCGATCCTATTATGGCAATGAGATCAGACATATTGCTGTGCTCGCTTGGGGAGG